CCATGAACTATTGATACACCGCTGCCTGAAGTAGTCCTTCGGGACATCCGTTAAAACTGGAACGATAACAGAGAAGATTAGCATGGCCCCTGCGCAAGGATGACACGCATAAAGCAAAGTAAGCGGGCACTTTTTTTTTCTACGAGTTCTCCTTTTTGTCGGGCCAACCGCTGCTATTTGCGTTATGGGAACGTGAGAGGAGGTGACGACAACAAAGGGGTGGTGTCAAGAGACTTACCTGGCGCGGCAGTTGGCTGTGTCCTAGCATAGATCCGTTCTCATATTGTACCGTTGGAGGTTGGAGGTCGCGCTATGGCCCGTATTCGTCGTTGCGACCCCGATCTAGTACCATCCTGGAAAAGCTTTTCGTCGTGATGGTAGTTATCACCTCACTGGTGGTCCTATCCCCTCTCATATTTGACAGTTCTTACTTTGCCATTGAAGATCGTACGAACCTGGCCGGAAGATCGGCTAGGTGCATTGGGAAGAAAGCCGGAGATGACAAAAATGGGATGAAGCAAGCGTATGGGAGGTAGAAGTAAGAAATGGCCGTTTCGTCTTGCAATGGGCAGATTCAGACAAGGGAAGAAGTTAGGCAGGGGAATGCGGGATGGGCGATCCCGAAGTTGTGGTTAGATCTGAGGGGGAGGTTAGCAAGAAGTGAAAGAGAAGGGAAAATACGATCGAAGGGGGGAGATCGAGGAAGATGGTGACGAGGGAGAGGGAAATCGAAAGTTGAACTTTTCTCAGCCATTCCTTGACCGTTCTCAATGATCTAAGATGCTCTTTGGAGGTTCTAACGGTAGGCGGATCCAATGGCAGTGTTAGATGTGAAGTTTATAGCTTAGTTTTCTTGCTGCATCGAAACAAAAGTGCGCAAAGGTGGCGGAGTGCGACTATGGCAGGAGATAAGATTTCAATACCTCGCTCGATTCTCTATAGAATCGAACGAAGTAAGAGGTTATTCCGAGGTTTCGAGGCAAGGCGAAGTTGATGGCGGGGTCGGATTTTAAGTAGGATGAGCGGATTAGGTGACACCTATGGTATAGGCTGCGTGGCCATGGTGAGAAGGAATCGGTAGAGTGACAAGAAGGGCACAGTGATTGTTGAGAAACAAGGGAAAGATAGGCGAATGGAGCAACCGGAGGGGTGACGAGACAGAGAAGGAAGGATAGCAAGGGAGAAGTAGGATTGAAAAAGAAAGAACGAAATACTTACCTGGCAGGAGTAAGGCGTCCAATGGTCGAGCACCTTGCTGTTTTCTAGCGGAAGGCTCATTCCTACATTGCTCATCCTATCAGAGAGAGAGAGAGAGAGAGAGAGAGAGAGAGAGAGAGAGAGAGAGAGAGAGAGAGAGAATAATAACTCGTTGATGTGAGTTGGGGATGTGAGGTAAACCGAACGTCGAGATAGGGTGCCTTTTCACCGGGCATGTATTTGCCCTGACTTCTAGTAGAAGATTCATTCTTACCCCAGGGTAGACAGTGTGATGCAGGCGGTATGGTACAAACAAGTGAGGTACGAGTAGCAGGCAGAGGAAGGAAGCCCGTTGCTATGCTCGACGTCAAGAATTCAGGCCTGTCGAAGGGTTGTTGTCGTACACCTACTAAGTAGGGCCTTCGCTGATTCTATCAGCAGAAAGTTGTTTCTTTCGCATCTTTCGGGCACTACTAATTTCCTCTTTGATAAACTATTGCGGCTAGGCTTTACCGTCTTCACAGCGGACTGCATATGTTGGTACCATTTCTGATGATTCGTAAGCTTGTTGTTGCTCCGGGTCGCGTTGACGGTGGTGCCACTAATTTGGGCTACCACATCATACAGATCGCTGTCTCTTCCGAACCAGCTGCTGTGTCACTCAAGCCATGATGCTGAAGCTGGTTTTTAGACTGCTACGGCCCTTGTCACGACTGTTCTTCGACCACATCATAATAGCAAGTATATGCCATTTGGAAGTGGTGCCATTGCCAGTCTCCCGATAGTGCCTGCGAACTCAAGGTGCGGCTGCCTTAGCAACAGCAAGTTCTTATCATATAGTCAGATACTGACTGCCGTGACTCCAGGGGTCACTTCTGATGTACTTTCGATTGCTGTGACAGCTTGCAACGGTACAACTGTTGCGGGTTCGGGTGGCAGTGCGGTTGGCTATAGGGGAGGGGCTATTGCCTGCTTAGACCAGAGGAGTGCTGCTGGGTTAAGGTAACGACACTTAGTATTACTGTTGACGTATGGGGGAGTTATGCATGTCGCCGTGCACGTGGTTGCACCTCTGTTGCGCCTGGTTCCGTTTGTTGAGAATATTAAACTACACCATGCATATTGCTGTTCGCTAAGTCCGAACACTGTTTTTATTGTATAAGCATCGGGTATTGCTGAGTTCGTATTGGATAACGCAGTGGCGTGTTATGCTGTTGATATAGTATCCTGTTGTTGCATATGGGTACTGTACGCACGGAACTGTGTTGAGCACCGTTGCCCTTCACCTACGTTTCGAATAGAGCACAGAGGTGTGCACTATTCGAACACAACCTTCTAGGCTGCGTAGCAGCAGTTCGGTTCGGGGTAAGACGAGACGACTGTGTGGCTTGAAGGGTGATCCGGTCCTGCAAAAAACCTACTGTTGTCATCGTCGTACCGTGCCTTGATGTGTTTCCACAGTGGGGTTTCGTAGTACAACTTGTTGTGTACTAGCTGCATGTTGTTGTGAGTTCTGAGAGGTGGTGTTTTTTCCTTGCCTATCAGCAACAGTGGACGTTGTGGCCTGGACGGCTGCTGAACAGTGGCTTGAGGCTGTTGCTGAAACCGGGGCTGTTGATGCTACGGTGAGGAGTTGGCAGCGATCTGCAACTATACAGAGAGGACGTTGTTTTTCCTCCGGATCGTGGAAATGCTGCTATTGTAGCTAAGGGTGAGTTGTTGTTAGGATCTGCGGTTGCAGCTAATTGCTACGGTAAACTGTCGGACTACAGTACGTTGATATTACTGTAGTAGGACTGTGCGTCGCAATGACGTTGGCCTCAGAAAGGAGGTTGTGAGAGAAGAGAGTGATTGGGACCTCTACAAGAGGTTACTGCTGTGACGTCGAGGGTTGTCAAGGAGCTGCTGTTCAAAGTTCTTGCTGGGTTGGATTGGTTTCCCTGCGTTATTGGCTACCATTGCGGGGCCCTCAAGAGCCGAAGATTACAAGGCCCTCTCCCGTGAGTCTGAGCGCACCTCTCCAGTATCTGAGAGTCTTAATGTTTTTTTCGCTGCCTTTCTTACTCTCAGTCTAGTCCTTGGGTTCCGAGAGGAAGGCGGCAGGCGAGATTGAAACCCGTAGTCCGCACCAAGGCCTCGGTGGGAGGTTCGCCCCACCGATTGCGGGAACTCTGTCGGAACCCAGGCGGGGTTCTGGAGGCATGGAACTTCAGGTATAATTTCGTCTTACTCGTGTGATCCCTTCCCCTAGCTGTTATCCCTTGGGTATCTGAACATAACTATGGAAGGATATTACTTTTTGTTTTGCTATGTATGTCAGGACATGTTTTGTGAAAGGCTAAATAAACAAATATATATGAGAGTTCAGATGAAACTTTGAGTGAATTCATACAAAAGAAATTGGGGGGAAGGTGGAAGAAAGATGTTTTGCATGTGTTTTGACCGGGTCAACCCAAGGTTGAACTCCTCTAAGTTGATGTGGCTCAGTGCTATGTTTTATTTATGTTTGCTGCGCTGACTGTATTATCTTTGAGGACTGGGCCTGTCCTAAGTTGGACGGACCAGTCGTTGTTTCTTTCTGGGGTTTCTGAACAGGAGGATGGACACCCTAAGTTGGGAGGACTCATAATCCTGATGTTTTTTTTGCTGAAAACAGGGCTGGGGATATTTTAAGTTGCGTAGACCCAGTTTTGTGTGTGTTGTCTTCTGAGGGGGACAAATGCATGAGGTTGAGCGTACCCTTAAGTTAGGGCCGCTCAGTCATAAGCCATGAACAAAAAGGTTAACCAAAATATATAATTTTGATATATATTATATGAATCTATATCAACTGACAGGCCGGGCACCCTATGTTGGGAAAGCCAGTCAGTAAGTCAGGTAGAACAAAATGAGAAGAGAGACAAGTGAAGAATATAATGAAGGTAACCCGGGCAAGCTGAGCGTACCCTTAAGTTAGGGCGGTTCAGTCTTATGCTCGTGATAATATGAAGGAGCAAAAAGTTAGTATAAATCTTCTTTTATTTTCCCTTCTGAACACACGGCAGGATTGGATGTCTCCCTAAGTTGGGTAGGTCTGATCATCTGCTTAATAAGAGAAAAAAATATAAAGTTTCTGCAAGTATATCAATGGTTGTTCTCTTATACTGTCGTTGCTGAGACTAAGAGTACCCTTAAGTTAGGGCGGCTTAGTCATACGTCGTTTGTGATTGTTTAGGCAGATCAGACGTACCCTTAAGTCAGGGCGGTCTGGTCATATTGTCTTATGTACCTAAGACTGTTTAAGCTAGTTAGGCGTACCCTTAAGTTAGGGCGGCCTAGCGATATGCTCTTGTCATTGGTGTTATGTAGGTTGGACGTACCCTTAAGTTAGGGCGGTCTGACCATTCATCGTTCGTACTTGTTTTAGGCAGGTTAGACACACCTCTAAGTTGGGGCAGCCTAATCCTATGCCCTACGTAACTTTGTCTAGAGCTGACTATGCATACCCTTAAGTTAGGGCAGTCTAGTTTATGCTTTACGTCAGTTAAGCAGAAGTCGGACGTACCCTTAAGTTAGGGCGGTCTGGTCATATGTTTTATGACTAGAGTCGATGTGGTGTTGGGCATACCCTTAAGTTAGGGCAGTCCAATTGTACACATCTAGATGTGTATAAGAGACAGCCTCCTCTCCTTCTCCTCTTCCCCCCCTCCCTCTTTCCCCTGCTCTTCTCCTCCTCCCAGCCTTCTCTTCTTCTCCCCCTCCTCTTTTTCTACTTCTCCTCTTCCTCCTCCTCCTCCTCCTCCTTCTCCTCCTCCTCCTCCTCCTCCTCCTCCTGTTCTTTGTTGTTTTCCTCTAAGTTCTTCGTTTTTTTCCTCCTCTTTGCCGTTTTCCTCTTCTTCTCTTCTTCTCCCCCTCCTCTTTTTCTACTTCTCCTCTTCCTCCTCCTCCTCCTCCTCCTTCTCCTCCTCCTTCTCCTCCTCCTCCTCCTCTTTTTCCTCCTTCTCCTTTTCCTCCTCCTCCTCCTCCGTCCTCCTCCTCCTCCTCCTCCTCCTCCTCATCATCATCATCATCATCATCATCATCTTCTTCCTCCTCCTCCGCATCCTCCTCCTTCATCGCACCTCGCACCAAAGCAGAAAAGGAAAGAAGAAGTCTCCTTTTTTTTCCATTAAACGTTTGCTCGAGGCACAGAGGAGCGGAGGAGCTCCTCCGCATCCTGCTCCTCCATCACACTTCACACCAAAGCAGAAAAGGAAAGGCGAAATCTCCTTTTTTTTCCATTCAACGTTCAAGTTTGCTCGAGGCACAGAGGAGGAGGAGGAGGAGGAGGAGGAGCTCCTCCGCATCCTCCTCCTCCATCGCACTTCGCACCAAAGCAGGAAAGGAAAGGAGAAGTTTCCTTTTTTTTCCATTCAACGTTTGCTCGAGGCACAGAGGAGGAGAAGGAGGAGGAGGAGGAGGAGGGTGGCAAAGTCATAGAAGACGAGGAAGAAAAGGCGAGGGCAAAGTAGTAGAGGAGGGCGGAGGAGGAGGACGACGACGAGGACGGGGAGTGGGAGGGTGGCAAAGTCGTAGAAGACGAGGAGAAAAATGCGACAACGAAGTAGTAGAAGAGGGAGGCAGAGGAGGAGCATGGAGAGGAGGAGGAGGCAAAGATCGCATTTTAGTTGAGGAGGAGGAGGATGAGAAGGGGGAAGAAGATGAGGAAGAGGAGGAGGAAGAGGAAGAGGAGGCCGAGGAGGGTGGTGCGGCCGTAGAAGACGGCGGTCGTCTGTTTTTTATTTCAATTTTTTTTTTAAAATCAATCAATCAATCACAGAAAAAAAATCCAGAATTTAATAATTATTCTATAGTAAAATCTAGGTTACCAATGTTCCGGGGGCCGGTCGTCTCCCCCGTACGTCTCCCCATACGTCCGGTACCCCCGTCGTCCGGAAAAACAAATTGTTTTTTTCGAAAAAAAATAAAATAAAAAAAGTTTGGTTTTTTATTTTTAACTCATGATTGGATGCGAATTTGAACATGACTCCAAGGCCAAATGTGCTTGTACTGTTATGTTACATAACATATATAATTTTCAGATTTTTCTAAGAACATTGTATTTTTTTTTTTTTTTTTTTTTTGCGCTAGGTCGGACATACCCTGTCTGGACGTCCGACCAGACGTCCGGTCGGACATCCCGGACGGTCAGGGGGGTCCCGGACGTCCGATCCAACAACCTAGAGTAAAATTACATTCTAAATTTTAAATTTCATTCCATCTTAAAAAATATCATTCCAATTTTAAAATTTTCCGTCTTACTTTAAAACTTTCCTTCCAAAAATGGGGTATCCCGTCTTATTTGAGCTGTATGCTAGAGAAAGAATGAAATACTAGATGAGTTCATGAAATATTTTAATTGGGCTGTCATTCTAAGTAACGATTTTCGGTCATAAATAGGTTAATCCAATCTAAATTGGAAAATATTTGCTGCAGTAGAATAAAAATTTAATGAAAAAAATTCATAAACTCGTCCAGACTTTCATTCCATCTTGAACGAATAGATGTAGTTGGAAGAGAAAACTCATATTTAGATAAGAACTTATCAAATAAAACTGAAAATTTTAGAATTGGACAAACATTGGAATGATAATTTATAAATATGAAGGATTTATTTTTTTATGGAATGTTTTTTCAACTTTCATTTCTCATGGGAATTTTTCTGTTGAATCAATCAATCAATCGATCGATTGGATCGATTTAATTTGTTCATTAAATCGAATCACGGTGTCAGTGTGAATACCCTTACAAGTTATAAGGGTATCCGCCCCGTTTTTTTGCAAGTGATATAAGATAAGTTTGGTCTTAAATTCAGACATGCGCGAGGCGTCGTTGCGTCTATGGTTTACGTTGGAAGGATGGTTGACTAGAGTTAGAGAGTGTGTGGGCGCGTGGATTTGAGGCGCACGTGATCTTTCTTATTGTTGATGATTGAAGAGTCGGCGCGATCGCAGACCAAAGTTTTATTTTTTTCTGATTTAACTAGGAGTAAAAGAGATTATGTTTCTTTGACTAATGTGCCTCCCCGTGACTTGTGCGTATGAGAGGAGGACGAAATTGACCACTGTGGGGGTTTGAGGCGCTTTAGTAGACCTGTGCGTCACGTGATATCCCTTATATAGGTGTCTGTTAATGTTAGGCTCAGCCTTGGGCAGAGCGCTATTGGTTACGATGTTGGACCTTTATCCGAGAGGTCCGGGGACCGAGACTTAGTGACGGCGACACAGGGGCATCAGAGCGGCACGAAGGAACCAACGGGTTGGGGGCCCGACGAGGCTATCCCCATGGGTTTGTAGTCCACAAGGTTGCGTGGCGGGGCCAAGGCTGTATAGGTAGTTGCCTTTTCCTTTGTCCCTTCGCCGTGAGGTTGCCATGAATATTTACGGTCACAAAATATTTTTACCTTTATTTATTTAAGTATTATTATTGTGGATATTTTCGTACGTTATCCTGTTTGTTGAGCGCGACATTGGGACCGACGGTGGTCAAAACGCATGCAAATCAGCGGGTTCTTAGCCCTCGGAAGGGAATTGGCAAGTGGCGTGTGCCTCTGTGGCTACGTGGCCGCAGTCAAATACCTGCTAAGAGAGAATTGGGAGTGAGCATTGCCACGAAGATCTAAATGACAGTGGACTATTTGTCAGGAGTCACTGTGAGCAGGCCACAATGGTGGTGTGAGAGGGTTGTAATCCCATAGAAACTCCCCCGTTTCGAACCTTGAAGCTCTCAATTGAACATTTGTTACTACTACCAAGATCTGCACCGAGACTCGCTTCGCCTGACTCACGTTTTCAAGCTTCGCAGTAGGACAACACCCTCCTATTCTTTGAGGAGTCAAAGGCAGCCGAAGCGTAGGCCGCACTCCTCAGTGGGCTTCGACAACCGGACGCTTGTTGGTTATGCCTACACCTTGTTTTGGTGTCCGGGTTGACGTGCAAGAAGTGACACCGACTCGCTGTAGTACCGGTTGCTCGTCAAACCTGGGTATAAGGGTAGAAAGAATTAACAGACTGTCCGGTAGACTTTTTTCAGGAAGTCGGAGTTGTCGAGACTCCACCTGCTGCGCTACGAAAGTTGACGCCAACGTAAACTCGGGTGAAACGAGGAAGAAGAGGGACAAAGGTGAGCAAAACTGGGTGTCACGGGTTGGAAGAAGCTTATCTCGCTCGATCCTTGGCGAAACCAAGCGGGTAGAGGCGCATTTTCAATTATTTTTTTAGCTGCGAGGCGATTGGCGGTGTTAGATTTAGCGCTGGAATAGTGAGTTAAGCACTATAGAGTCAAAAGGTTGCGCGAAGGGTGGAGCATTTTTGTGAAGAGGAAGGTTCGTGATTGCCTTGTTCTGGTTGGAAACGGGAAAGTGAAGGACCGATTTCGGGATCCTTACCACGAGCGAGTCAGATGGCGAAGTAAGAGTTGGAAGAAGATTGGGGAAGAAGGAAAGAGAGAGAGGAGACGTAGCATGGAGGTATGGCGGTATTGGAGATGGCGGTGACGAAAGGGCGCTCAAATATAAAGTTGAATAAATCGATCGATTTTTGACCGATTGTTGATCGATCAAGCTGCTTTTCGGGGTGGACGAATCTAGATCTAGTGTTAGTCATGTGATAAGTTAATGGGTTGGAAGTTAGTAGAGAAATGTGATACATGAGAGTGTCACAAGGAGGTGTCGGCGCAAAAAAAACAAAAAAAAATTTTTTTACTCGCTCATCTCCAGTCGAATTCGAGAGAAGAAGGAGGTGCACTTGGGATTTTGGGAAGCGGCGAATCCAACGATGAAGTAAAAATTTAGATTTAATCGGCAGTTTAAGTAGTACTCAAATTTCGAGTCGTGCGTGGGAAGGATGAATAACTCCGAGATAAAACGAATGAATAGTTTCGCTTTTTAGCGAAAGGTACGTCTCATTTTGGTTCGTTTATAGGAGTAGGCTAAGTAGCCTGTTGTTGTGCCTTTGCACGGAAGGTCGAGAGTCAATTTACACTTCTATACTTGGGGGGAGCGATTGTTTGCCCTGCTCGATCTACCGATGGAAGTAGCATGAGGCGAGCCACGGGTTGGAGACTCGTCCATCGACTAGTGCGATCCATCGATTAGAGTAGGGTACTTACCATTAGCCAAAACAAGGGAACAGGCTGCAGAGTTGGAAGTTTACCTACTAGTGGAGACAATTGCCCTTTCGTCGATTAGAGCAGCGAGGAAGTTAGGCAAGGGCAAACAAGTACCAGTCAGTCAGTGAGTTGCTCATCTTGTCGCTGAGACCAGCCTGAGTTCGGCCGCTGCATTGGGGGCCTACCTGGTGGCCTAGACTCTGCTGAGCCCGTTGAAGACTTACCCGCGGGCGAAGGCACTGCTCGTCTTGACGAGCAAAGGAAGTAGTGGGAGGGAGGCCGCCGACTGCAGATTTACCTATGAGGCCAGGGCGTTGCTTAATACTACCAAGCGAGGGAGCGACAGGCGAACAACATGACCTGAGGACTCACCTTGTGGGTTGGCGATGCGAGACGAACAGGATGTCGGGTTGTATGCCAGGCTGCAAAGCTGCCAGCAGATGCGTACGTGCGACTTTCCATAAGCTGTGAAGCGTTCAACTCAAGTTGAGTTGTGTGCGTGAGTCCGTTGTCACCTAGGGTCAGGGGAACAACCAAAACGCTTCCTATGGCCAACTGAGAAGGCGGACGCGAGAACAGTGCCAAGTTGTATGGTGTAAGCGCTCTTTTCAGTTGAAAGTGGCATTCGGAGGAGAACTTTACCTGCAAACCAAAGAATCACGACTGCTGCGACTTGGGAACATACTCGTTGGCTGACTCGTTGTCCACTCTATCGGCTGAAGTGTAGGAGGCGAGACTGCAAACTTACCCGCCTACGGAATAAAGTAACATAACTCTGGCTGTAAATATTGTGTAAGTGCGGCAAACTATGTATAGCTGACTTGTCCCCTCCTCCGGTCTATTTTTGAGTGGCTGCTGCGTGGCACTGTACTATTTGCAAGGACGGACAAGTTGGGAAATTCTTCCTCATCTTTAGGGTGCAGTGTAGCGACGATTGTTCTAAGGGGAGTCGTTGAGACTCAAAAGGGCAGTCAAACTTATGAAGGGGGTTATCGTTGTGAAACAAGGAGGTCGTCAAAAGGTTGACCTCGACAGTTTGACTTCAGTCTTGACCAAGCTGATGTTGTTTAGCCATCATTGCGGGGCCCTCAAGCGATGGAAGATAAAAAAACTCTCTCCTGAAAGTTGAGTTGTCCCTCTCCTGTATCTCGAGAGTCTGAAAAACTCTCTCCTGAAAGTCTAATCCTAGTTTTAAGAGGAAGGCAGCAAACGGGATTGCAACCCGTAGGACCGTAGCAAGACTCTGTGGAACATCCATTTCGTCAAAACGGACATATTATATTTTTTGAACGAAATCAAAACTGATTTTTTTTGCCAAAATCCGGTCGGAATTTTTTGCTCTTGGGGGTCCGGCGTTCCCAAAACGCCGGACCCCCTGGTCTATGGTTGAGACTAGATACAAAAAAAAAAAAAAAAAAAAAAAAAAAAAAAAAAAAAAAAATAATTAAAAAAAAAAAAAAAAAAAAAAAAAAAAAAAAAAAAAAAAAAAAAAAAAAAATTGTATCTGGTCTCAACCATAGACCAGGGGGGTCCGGCGTTTTGGGAACGCCGGACCCCCGGATCAAAAAATTCCGACCGGATTTTGGCAAAAAAAGTCAGTTTTGATTTCGTTAAAAAAATATAATATGTCCGTTTTGACGAAATGGCTGTTGTGGGGAGTCTGCCCACCGGTTGTGGGAGCTCTGTCGGAACTCAGGAGGAGTTTTAGAGGCAGGGAACCGAAAGGTAACCATTGTTTTCCCTCTATAAACCTAGTTATAACCCCTATGTGTAATTTCGGCTATGTTTGACAGAGTATACTGTGTGCATCCCTACTTTGACTTTTGATTTGACTTTCACGACAATTCAGAGTTAAGTAAAGGAATGCATGTGTAATACCAGTTTCAGTTTTATTGTCTAACTAAAAGCAGATTGTGGGATTGCATTTGAGGGAAGGATGAGAGGAAGGCTGTATTGCTTGTCTTTGACTGGGTCAACCAAAGGCTAGGAGAGTCTCCATAAGATTGGAGGGCCCAATGCTATGTTTATCTTTCGATTGCCTAAAGGACCAGACAGGTTCCCATAAGATTGGGTGGTTTGGTTGCTTTGACTTGTGAGGGCTGCATGTGCTTGACTTTCAAGGACCAAAATTTTTTCCATAAGATTGGATGATTTGGTTGTCTTGTTTCCTTGGGGTTTTCTTATGTTTTGTTAGTTTCTCAACGGGGATTGGACAGGTTCCATAGGATGGTCTTGACCCTCTCTTGCTTTATTCTGAAGGG